AACGCACAGTAGGTGTGGACGTTGTATGTGGACGTTGGGTGTGGACGTTGGGTGGACGTTGGGTGGTGGAGGTGGACGTTGGGTGTGGACGTTGGGTGTGGACGTTGGTGTGGACGTTGGTGTGGTCGTTGGGTGTGGACGTTGGGTGTGGACGTTGGGTGTGGACGTTGGGTGTGGACGTTGGGTGTGGACGTTGGGTGGTCGTTGGGTGTGGACGTTGGGTGGGACGTTGGTGGAGGATCCACAAATCAGGTGAGAGACAGTAATGGGGGTGAGGAGAGAATGGGGAGGTGAAGACAATGGGGGTGAGAGAGGTAATGAGGGGTGAGAGAGACAGTAATGGGGGTGGAGAGAGAGTAATGAGGGTGAGAGACAGTAATGGGGGGTGAGAGACAGTAGTGAGGGTGAGAGAGACAGTAATGGGGGTGAGAGGAAATGTGAGGGGTGAGAGAGACAGTAATGGGGGTGAGAGACAGTAGTAGAGGTGAGAGAGAGAGACAGTAGTGAGGGTAGAGACAGTAATGAGGGTGAGAGACAGTAGTGGGGTTGAGAGACAGTAGTGAGGGGTGAGAGACAGTAATGGGGGTGAGAGACAGTAGTGGGGGTGAGAGACAGTAGTGAGGGGTGAGAGAGAGTAATGAGGGGTGAGAGACAGTAATGGGGTGAGAGACAGAGAGGTGAGAGACAGTAATGGGGGGGTGAGAGACAGTAGTGAGGGGGTGAGAGACAGTAGTGGGGGTGAGAGACAGGGAGGGGTGAGAGACAGTAGTGAGGGGTGAGAGATGGGGTAGTGAGGGGTGAGAGACAGGGTGAGGAGACAGTAGTGAGGGGTGAGAGACAGTAGTGAGGGGTGAGAGACAGTAGTGAGGGGTGAGAGACAGTAATGAGGGGTGAGAGACAGTAATGAGAGACAGTAATGGGGGTGAGAGACAGTATGAGGGGAGAGACAGTAATGAGGGGAGACAGAAATGAGGGGTGAGAGACAGTAATGGGGGGTGAGAGACAGTAATGGGGGTGAGAGACAGTAATGGGGGGTGTGAGAGACAGGAAATGAGGGGTGAGAGACAGTAGTGAGGGGTGAGAGACAGAGGAGGGGATGAGAGACAGTGTGAGGGGTGAGACAGTGAGGGGTGAGACAGTAGTGGGGGGATGAGAGACAGTAATGGGGGGGTGAGAGACAGTGAGGGGAGGGGAGACAGTAAGGGGAGGGGGTGAGAGACAGGGGGGAGAGACAGTGTGTGGGGGAGAGACAGTAGTGAGGGGTGAGAGAGACAGTAATGGGGGAGACAGTAGGGAGGGGTGAGAGACAGTAATGAGGGGTGAGAGACAGTAATGGGGGTGAGAGACAGTAGTGAGGGGTGAGACAGTAGTGAGGGGGTGAGAGACAGTAGTGGGGGGATGAGAGACAGTAATGGGGGGGTGAGACAGAAAGAGGGGTGAGAGACAGTAATGAGGTGAGACAGTAATGGGGGGTGAGAGACAGAGAGGGGAGAGACAGTAGGGGTGAGAGACAGTAATGAGGGGTGAGAGACAGTAATGGGGAGGAGACAGTGGGGGGATGAGACAGTAGTGAGGGGTGAGAGACAGTAAGTGGGGGGATGAGAGAGACAGTAGGGGGGGGGGGGGAGAGACAGTAATGGAGGGTGAGACAGTAATGGGGGGGGAGAGACAGAGGGGGTGAGAGACAGTGGAGGTGAGAGACAGAATGGGGGGGGAGACAGTAGTGGGGGATGAGAGACAGAGGAGGGGTGAGAGACAGTAGGGGATGAGAGACAGTGAGGGGGAGACAGAATGGGGGTGGAGAGACAGTGGGGGGGATGAGAGACAGAGAGGGGGTGAGAGACAGTAATGGGGGGGTGAGAGACAGTAGTGGGGGATGAGAGACAGTAGTGAGGGGGTGAGAGACAGAAGTGGGGGGGATGAGAGACAGTAGTGAGGGGTGAGAGACAGTATGGGGGTGAGAGAGTAATGAAAGAGACAGTATGGGGTGAGAGACAGTAATGGGGGGGAGAGACAGTAGGGGGGTGAGAGACAGTAATGGGGGGGTGAGAGACAGAATGAAGAGAGGACAGTAATGGGGGGTGAGAGACAGTAATGGAGGTGAGAGACAGTAATGGGGGTGAGAGACAGTAATGGGGTGAGAGACAGTAATGGGGTGAGAGACAGTAGTGAGGGGTGAGAGACAGTAATGAGGGGTGAGAGACAGTAATGGGGGTGAGAGACAGTAATGGGGGTAGAGACAGTAGGTGAGAGACAGCAATGGGGGTGAGAGACAGTAATGGGTGGAGAGACAGTAATGAGGGGTGAGAGACAGTAGTGGGGGTGGAGACAGTAATGGGTGAGAGACAGTAGGGTGAGAGACAGTAATGGGGTGAGAGACAGTAGTGAGGGGGTGAGAGACAGTAATGAGGGGTGAGAGACATATAGTAATGACGGAGTGAGCTTGTTTGTACACACACACACACACACACACACACACACACACACACACACACACACACACACACACACACACACACACACACACCTTAGTGAAAAATTTTATACAACAATTACCTGAAACTCTGAGTCTAGAAATGAGTGTATTGTACTGTACATATAAGAGATTTGTATACCACTGTACACTTGGATCTACTATTAAATTTTACTTCTTTTGTGTGTGTCGAATTGTCTCATCCCCGACGTTTTATACTCCCTTTAATTAATCTTCTGATGAGAGAGATTTGGGGAATCCATTCTCAATAACTTCATCTCTTGCTCTCCCACAACCATGGATAGACACAATAAATTATTTTCTGGCCTTCCTGTTAGATCATCGTCACATTAAGGTCCAACCTCATTGCCTTCCGGGCTTGTGGGCAGTGTGCCACCGAGAGCTAGCAAGTACCGTCCGGGGAAAACAAAGTCTTGGGCATTAAACACGATGGAATGTTTAAAAATGAACCAATACAAAATAAAGATTGATGAGCATGGGCTCTGAGGACATTATATGACGCTGTTAAATATGTAAATGTCTGTAGGGGAATGAAAGGATTGCAGTGGGACATTCTGGGATTTAGTGAAGTAAGATGGACTGGTTCAAATAGCATTAGCGGTGAAGATTCTTCCTTCATAATTAAGGTGGTGAAAACATGAGTGTGTTGGTATTATTGTAAACCAGAAGTTGAGCAGTAGTGTGAAGGGATATTGGGCAGTGTGAGATAGGTTCTGATGGTCAAGTTTAATGCTAAACCCAAGGCCTTGGTAATAACACAGGTTTATGCACCAACAAATAATATTGAGAATGAAGTCTTAATTTTTTAATGAAGATTTAATAAAAGTAAAAGCCACCGTAAAGTTTAATGGATGTCTGGTTATAATGGACGATTTTAACACAAAAGTTTGGAAAGGGAAGTAGCACCAGAAGTGAGACCACATGGGTTGGGTAATAGAAATGAGAGAAGGGAAATAATAATTGACTTTTGTAAATAAAACAATGTGATAATTGCAAACACGTGGTTTGAACAACACCCTGGGCATTTGTATACATGGGTCTTACCCCAGGACAATGTAAACAACACAGAAGAGTAATGGAAGGAGCTTCAAGATGACGACAGAAGACATAACGATGGGGAACTGTACAGAAAAAAGGAAATAAATGGGGAGGAATTATTAAAAACAAAGACAATAAAATCCTGTTTGAGGCAGAAAAAGTAAGAGAGATGGGCAGAGTATGTAGAAGAACTATACAGTGATAGGATACAATAGAGGTAAAAAACGAAAAGGAAATAAAGACCGAAATGCCAATTCTGGAAACAGAAGTTGAGGCAGCTGTGAGCAATGATGGAAAATGATAACGCTTGTGGTGTTGGTCAGCTTCCAGCAGAATTTACAAAACAAATGAACAAGAATAGGATCAAATGTTTGCCTAGAATATGTTCCTCGTTCTTCAAAAGGCGACCTTCCCAGCGATTTAAAATAATCAGTATTTGTATTATTACCTCAAAAGCCACGAGCCTTAGAGAGCACCCAGTTTAGAACGATAAGATTAATAAGTCATGCCTGCTAAGTCTTATTTAACATTACTTTAAGTTGAATAAAATTTAGAATAGACAGTGAGTTATCTGAACAGCAGAATGGTAAAGTAATGTATAATACACGACATGCAGACGATGCTGCTCTTATCACGGAGAGTGAAGAGGCATTACAAAAACTGGTTAACAGATTAGTGGAAAAACTTGAAGAATATAACTAAATTAATGATTATTTCTAAATTGGAAATATATTTTAAAATTAAAATTATGGTAGACAACAAGGAACTTAAGCAAGTGGAAAATTTTGTATATTTAGTAAGTAAATTAGGTGTGATGGTTGATGTATGGAATAAATCAAAACAAGAATAGGGCAAGAAAAAACAGCATTTAATAATCTGTATAACCAAATGAAAAGAGACATTAACTTTAATATGAGAAAAAAGGCTGCTGAGAAGCTTTACAGGGCCAGGACTGTTGTAAGGGCCAGATGTGTGGACACTCAGCAGACAACAGAATGAGGTTGGCGGCCTTTGCAACGTGGTGTTAAGGAGAATGTTAAGAATAAACTACACTGACAGGGAAACAAATGAAGAGGTACTAAGGTTAGCAAAAACTTGAGAGAAATGTTTGGGTTGTACAGAAAAGGAAATATTAGATACTGTGATCATATAATTACGGATGAGGGGAAGATTAAAGAAATATTAATGGGCAAAGATGAGGGCAGGAGGACCAGGGGAAGGCACAGACTGGGATGGATGATTGAAATTAAAAACTGGATCCCTAGAGAGATACAAAACCTTAGAGAACTGGTAAAAACAGCCCGAGAACCTTTAGAGTGGAGGACTGGTTGTCAACCCTGCACCGTGTATACTCAGATTGAAGATACTGGACACTTTAAAACCAATAAGTAAGAAATTAAGTAAGTAAATGAATAAGTAGGCCAATAAGTAAGCAAACTTATATACAGAACCTTGACCAAGTACTCACGTGTATTTTAATGTTGTTATTTTGATGATCAGTAACGAGAGACCTGACAGTTAAAACTCCTCGCTAAATCAGCAACTGAATTATATACAAAAATTCTACCGTCATCGAATATTGATGGCTTCATTTTTTTTTTAATTATTTCTTATAATTGGTGAAACAAAAGCATCATACATTTCACATTTTTCGTATTTATCACGTCACCGCTTATATCCTTACTTGCCGTTGGCCTAGTCTTATTCTTCGTTACGAGTTTATGACCTTTCCTGTCTAGTACTTATCCGCGTACTTGTTCTCCGAATTTTATGAGAAATTAATTACCACAAATGAAAAATCAAACTTCATTCAGCCGTAAGAGAAATATTTTTATCGAGTTCATGAATCACGAAAAGTGGCTGTTGTTACCATGATTAGTATATCCTCCCGTTTGTACTCTGCTCCAGGGTGTGTCAGAATACCATTACTGCATTTTAGATGGGAACACCATATTTAAACATATTGTTGTGGCTTCTACTTGTTGCAAGGTGTTAGCGTGGCCTTTAGTGTACGTGTAAAGTAAGTCAATATAGAGCGAGGAATGCAACTTGCTCTTAGCCGAGGGTGTCCGCCATTTTGTTGTCTTCCTGCCTTACTTTGCCAGATATCATCGACCTCCAAGAACATTGATTTTTATTTACCGTTATTTGTATTGCTCACACCTGTGTTATACCAGTAAGAGACAGCAGTGTTGTTGTTGATGGTGGTAGTAGTGATGAAGGGCTGCGCACCTCTAGCAGCGACCGGCGCACTCCTGGCCCCGCCTTTTGTCATGCACCGCCATGCAACTTTCCTTATCGATCTTCCTTCCTCAACTACACATATTTTCTTCATTATCTTCATAACCGACCGCCATATTAACCACCACTGCTATATTAAAATATTCCGCTTACGAAAAAAGCATACATCGACAATAACGTTATATAAATACTTTTGAGAGGCCATGAAACCTTGCCACATGTCTTAAGCTCTGTGTCGTCGCCATGTTTTACCATTTCGTGTACTATCTTTCATCTTACACAAACATCTACTACTACACAGAGCCGACAAAATAAATTACTTAACATCATCTCGAGGTGATTGTTGGAGGCAAACCACAGTCTCGTGCCCCGACGCCGCCATATAAACATTTTCTGATGCCACACGAAACGAATCACTCAAACGTCGAGATAACACAATTTCATACACTTTATAAATATTACTGAATGTTTATGAAGCAAAGCAGTAAATATTAAGTCAATGTTCACGACAGTTTCATCACGTTCCCTACTCCCCTTCACCACACAAGGTCCTCCTGTTAGATGAACCTCATTTTACACACCAGAAGGCACGACTGAAATGAACTAATTCCTATTGCACATTTGGCATATTCCTTTGACAGCTGCGGCGCCTCGCTTAATAATTAATATTACGAGACACGTGGCTCATATATGCCAGCCTAGTTACCGGCCCTGCACCTCTCACACACCACAACCAACACTTTTAAGTCATAGCCATTGTTGACTTTATTGACAAATCGTTTCCAATATGGCGAGGGAGTGGAGACGAGAACACTTAATGTGGAGCTGGGTGTGTGGATCAGCCACTTAACCCATGTATCCACATATTCCGTATTACCCGCTTGTTGTCCTGCGGGTAGATGGTTGAGGAGACGACCTGTGTAACACACCTCGTGGAGGAGCTGTCACAACTCACAACTCTCCTTCCCCGGTACTGTAGGAGGGGGGGCAGGGTGTTATTGAGGGGGTGTGTTGGGGGGTGTGGCGTAGCTTGTCGCGGACGGACAGAGGGGGAGGTAGGTGTCGGGGGGAGGGGGGGGGGTTATCGAGGTGTAGATAGGAGGAAGAAAAAAAAAGAATCGTCAAGAATCAATGTCACCGTGAACAAATTAGTACAGGGCCAAAATAAATAACTTACTCCCATATAACACACACACACACACGTTATATCACTAATGCAAATGAGTGACGCAATTTGAATACTAACCAAAGTTACCAGCCAGTTCTAACAGAGAGTCAACACACACACTAATTTTTCACATGGCGGATGGAGATTTAATTCTCAGTGGCATAAATCACATGAGCGACGTTGATTGTTAGAGTGAGTTAACAGGTTGAATGAGTTACCAGGGATAGTTAACAGGTAGGATGAGTTACCAAGGATAGTTAACAGGTAGAATGAGTTACCAGGGATAGTTAACAGGTAGAATGAGTTACCAGGGATAGTTAACAGGTAGAATGAGTTACCAAGGAGAGTTACCAGGTAGAATGAGTTACCAGGGATAATTAACAGGTAGAATGAGTTACCAGGGATAGTTAACAGGTAGAATGAGTTACCAAGGAGAGTTACCAGGGATAGTTAACAGGTTCTGTAAGTTACCTAGAATAGACGAATTGGAGCGGGAGGGGTGCGGGAGGGGTCCGGGAGGTGCTGTGAAGAGCTTGGAGAACGAGGGGAGACTGACACTTGAGTTAGGGCCGTGTGTCTGACTGGGCGGGCCCGCTTTGCCGCCACCACCACCACCACCGACCGCTCCTGCGCGCGCCCACAACCTGTCGGAAACCTTTTGTTAATGTCAATGGTTTTCCGGATACCTAACACAGTCCTTTACCCTCCTTCCCCCTCCCCATTTGCCTTCTTGGACTTTTAAAATGTCTGTTTCAATACGGAGGTTGATCTACTGTACTGTATATGTCAGTTTGTGGCGAATGAATATGGGATTTTATTTTTTTTGGGCGTTTATTCCAAAAATGCTTATTATTATTATTTTTTGGCGTTTATCCAAAAATACTTAATTTAATTTTTGTTTTTACTCATAATTTTTATTAGTTTGGTGAGAAGAGAACATTTTGATTTATTGTTTTGCGTCGTTACCGAGTTCTGGCTGATGTGAACTCGTATGATATTGATTACTTAAGCCCTTGAATACGGTGATTTAAATCATTGTACTCATGGGGGTTAAGTCATTGTATTCAAGGGTTGTCTCTGTATTCAAGGGGCAGATATGGGCAAATATACTTAAAAATGTATGTTAAAGATACAGATACAAGATACATTTTTAAGATACATCACTTTGAGAACAATATTTTGCTTCGCTTGAATCCCATTAATGTTTTACACTAGTTCAGAACACACAGTACCTTAGTAATCATTGTTATAAGTATAGCAAATAATGTGGAATGAAAATATATACTTTTCACGTCATTTACTGTCTTCAAGGGTGAACATCCAGTAGGGGGCTGTACTAGCGAACCTGACAGTCTGTCTCTCTTCGGTCTATATAATTATCATATCAACACAAGAGAACAAACACTCTCTCATCTGGTGCTGAAGAAACAAGTACTTTGTGTGATCACTTCTTCACAGATGGATAACTGTTTAGGTTGGAGAAAGTCCTGCTTTTATCTTGAAGGGAATACCAAGTTTGTATATGTGCTTCACTAGTAACGATCTCGGGAGATGACGTCTTAAGTTTCCCGGGGAATTTGGGTTATAAATAAGCCCGAAAGAAAAATATAGAGGAGACTTTTTAGAATCGTTAAGGTAAAAATTCAAAAGTACGGTTCCTGCCCCGCTCTACGTAGATTCCATCTCTGACAACAAAATATAGTGTTGCTAACTTACCAATGTTTAAATAATTCTACTTCACCAAAATTCATAAAATTTTAGCTAAAAATTAGAAATTATCTAGTTTTAGTTAAGATTTTTTTTATTATTAATAATAGGTTTTAATTAAAAATTTCATCTTTACTAAATAACTCACAAACTCACTATTTATCTTGAAAATAGCAAAAAGCTCCACAAACCGCGACTGCCGAAAATTACCCGCACCTCCCTGCTCAAACTAGCCCAGTGCCGTGGGAAAACACCGACCTTTGCAACACTGAGTCACTGTTAGCCGGGCGACCGGAGCCTTAACACTGGCATAGGATATTTTATCCACATTTCAAACCTGAATTCAAATGAATCTTTAAAATCTATCTTAATATTAAGATATTTGACAAATATGTATCTAAGGTAATGCTCAAGATACTCAGAAAAATGTATCTTAGATACCTATCTTGTATCTTCAGATACTGCGCATCTGTCAAAAGGCTTATGCCATTATACTCAAGGGGTAATGTCATCGTAGTCAAGGTATTAAGTACCATGACTTACTTACAGTAATTGAGTACGATGACTTAACCCCTAGATTACGATGCCAATTCACCGAGTACAATGAATTAGCCTCTTGAGTACAATGCCATACATCACTTGGTAGTGACACTTCCTGTGTTATACATAGTAAGTATTGTTATTATTTACACAGTCAGAAGGAAATGTGTCAATCTTGTGAACAACGTGTAGCATGGTTCACGTGGGTGGTTATCTTGTTGCACAGGTGTATTGATCCTTTAGAAAATCATCGGACCCATTGTGTACAGACACTCTTTTGATCGTGTTCATAATTGATATAGTACACTCGTAAAATATATATTCTTTGTTTGCAGACGATATTAATCTTTATGCTAGTCACTCAAATCTCCATTCCATGATAAGAACTATGAACACCTTAAGTCAGGACCCGGGTAATACTTAATAAACTGACCTTAAAACTCGAAAAACCCGCTACACGATCTGTCACTGAAGGAAAAACTTACCTCCAGAGTTGGACCCCCTGTACCTTGGTAATACAGTTCTCAAAGGTGAACAGAATACTAAATTCCTTTTGGTGTTGCTGATAATCAAAACTGGAGAAACCACATACAAGCCATTCACAGTAAAGTCAATAAACAGTGCAGTATCAGGTATCATACTCGACAGTCACTCACTCTTGCTGCAATGGAAGAAATCTATCATGACCTTGTTTACCAACACTTGATACACTGTCACACACTATGGGGACTCTGGCACCACTAAGAGACAACCCCTGGTCACTACACAGAAGACAGTTGTGAGGACAATAACCTACTTGAAAAAAAAACTGATCACACTAACAAACTATTTGCTTTATAGAAAATGTGGTGAAGGTGTGGAACAACTTCTTTTAAATCATCTCTTAAAAGATATCTATGATTTCAGTATTAATATATTTGGATATTTGTAGCACTTTTCTACTTTTATTTTTACTGTACCATTAAAAATATTATCTCACATATTATCACTTTGATAGAACATACCAGTGCAATGATCAAAGTATAATATATTTTGCCGTCACAAGATCCTCCTGGCTGTATCTGTCCTTTCGTTTCACTCTAACAAACCGCAAGTTGCATCACCTCCGCTCACTCACCAGATCAATATATATCAACTATACCCTGGTGCTTTGGTATAAAAATGTGTATATACAGTATTTATATTATACACGATAAATGTAAAATATTAAAATAAGTGATACTTGTGATACCATTCTATGTTATATGTAGTACGACAAATGATACCAAGTGTTACATAATAGTTCATCGTGATAAATGTACCGTATGTATCAGGTGACACTAAGAGGGTTCTCGCTAAGCTCAGCCGTGTCAATGCTGTTATTGTCCACTTTGTATCTGTATTCTTCTGCTTAAATAAACTGGTTTAATATTATCATCAGTACGCATCTATCAGGTCCGC